TGAAATGGTTCGCGACTGGGAGGTGCAGTTGTTTATTGCGAACCGAGCGTAGGTGTTCTGCAAAGCGGCTCCTGAGCCTTCGCTTGGTTTTTCCGATGTAGAGGAGGCCACAACGGGTACAGCGGATGCAGTATACCACATTGGCAGATGTGCAGGTGAACATCTGCTTGATGTGGAAAGTCTTCTTGGGGCCTGGGCTGGGGGTGAGGGAGGAGGTATGGGGGCAGATGTAGCACTTCCTGCGGTTGCAGGGAAAAGTGCCGGGTGTGGTGGAGCTGGAGAGGAGTGTGGAGCGGACAAGGGAGTCACGGAGAGAGTGGTCCCTCCGGAAAGCAGATAAGGGTGGGGAGGGAAAGATGTCTTTGGTGGTGGGGTCGGATTGCAGATGGCGGAAATGTCGGAGGATGATGCGTTGGATCCGGAGGTTGGTGGGTTGGTACGTGAGGACGAGGGGGATTCCTTCTTGGTTCTTATTGCGTGGACGGGGTGTGAGGGATGAGTTGCGGGAAATGTGGGAGACACGGTTGAGGGCGTTCTCGACCACTGAGGGGGGGAAGTTGCGGTCCTTGAAAAACGAGGACAACTGAGATGTACGGGAGTGGAATGCCTCATCCTGGGAGCAGATGCGGCGGAGGCGATGGAATTGGAAATAGGGGATGGCATTTTTGCAGGAAGGTAGGTGAGAGGAGGTGTATTCTAGGTAGCTGTGGGAGTCGGTGGGCTTGAAATGGATATCGGTTTCTAGGTGGTTGCCCGAGATGGAGACAGAGAGGTCCAGGAAGGAGAGAGAGGTATTAGAGATGGTCCAGGTGAACTTAAGGTTGGGGTGGAAGGTGTTGGTGAAGTGGATGAACGGTTCGAGCTCCTCGTGGGAGCACGAGGCGGCGCCGATACAGTCATCAATGTAACGGAGGAAGAGGTGGGGTTTAGGGCCAGTGTAGGTACGGAAGAGGGATTGTTCCACGTAACCTACAAAGAGGCAGGCGTAACTTGGGCCCATGCGGGTACCCATGGCCACCCCCTTTGTAGGAAGTGGGAGGAATTGAAAGAGAAGTTGTTGAGTGTGAGAACGAGTTCGGCTAAGCGGATGAGGGTGTCAGTGGAGGGGGACTGGTCGGGCCTGTGGGACAGGAAGAAGCGGAGGGCCTTTAGGCCATCTGTATGGGGAATGCAGGTGTATAGGGGCTGGATGTCCATGGTAAAGATGAGGTGTTGGGGACCGGGGAATTGTAAGTTCTAGAGGAGGTGGAGGGCGTGGGTGGTGTCACGGACATAGGTAGGGAGTTCCTGGACCAAGGGGGAGAAAATGGAGTCCAGATAGTTGGAGATAAGTTCGGTGGGGCAGGAGCAGCTAGAGACAATGGGTCGACCAGGGTATTCAGGTTTGTGGATTTTGGGAAGGAGATAGAAGCGGGCGGTGCGAGGTTGGGGAACGATGAGGTTGGAGGCCGTGGGTGGGAGGTCACCTGAGGTGATGAGGTTGTGGATGGTTTGGGAGATGATGGTTTGGTGCTTGGGGGTGGGGTCATGATCAAGGGGGCGGTCTCTCTCCCACTGCAATCTGCTCCTGTGATGCTGCTTGGCCTGCTGTGTTCATCCAGCTCTGCACCTTGTTGTCTCGGATTCTGCAGCATCTGCAGTTCCTACTGTCTCTGATTCAATTTTAACCCCACTGCGAAGCCTCTTCTAAGGATGCCTAGCCTGAGGAAGTTACCCTCCTCCCTCTGGACAAACCTCAGGGGATCTCTCTTCCACTGCAACTCTGCTCCTATGATGCTGCTTGGCCTGCTGTGTTCATCCAGCTCTGCACCTTGTTGTCTCAGATTCTCCAGCATCTGCAGTTCCTACTATCTCTGATTCAATTTTAACCCTTACCAGAATGCTGCCTGGAATAGAGAGTATGAACTATTAGGAGAGGTGAGAAAAACTTGGGCTCTTTTCTCGTTAGCAGCAGAGGCTGAGGTGAGACATGATAGAAGTCTGTAAAATGATGAGATGCATAGATAGGGTTGTTGGTCAGAATCTTTTTCCCAGAGTTGAAATGTCTAATATTGGGGGCATGCATTTTAGGTGAGAGGGGAAAAGTTCAAAAGAGATATGAAGGGCAAGTTTTTTACACAGAGTTTGGTAGGAGTCTGGAATGTGCTGCTAGGCATGGTGGTGGAGGCAGATACGATAGGGTCGTTTGATGGATTTTTAGATAAGCCAATGAATATGCAGGTATTGGAGGGATATGGACCAAAGGCAGGCAGAAGGGATTGGTTTAATTTGGTATCATGTTCAGCACAATATCATGAGCTGAAGGGTCTATTCCTGTGCTGTACAGTTTTATGTTCTATGTCTGTGTTCTATGATTGGCTACAATGGATTGACATTTGCTCTTACACCTTATAGATTGGAGGATGTATGTTTACTTCTTTGTTTTGCATTGAGGGTTCTCTACAATAGGCTTTAAGCTGGTCAAGACTGTGAAGTTGAACTTGGTTGCTATTTGAGTTAGACAAAGTTGGGGGTGGGGTGTTGTGGTGCGAGGTAGTGGTGCGTAGTCAGTCCTAACTTGCAAGTTGCATGAAAAGCTACATGTTCTATTTTGATTTACTGGTGTAGAAAGTAATAATTTTACTCTCCAACCTTGTTAACAGTATCAAAAACAAAAACAAACTTGCTGGGAAAGCTCAGCAGATCTGGCAGCATCTGTGAAGGGAAAAACAGAGTTAATGTTTCGTGTCCGGTGACCCTTCCTCAGAACTGGGTCACCAGTTCTCAGAACTGAGGACGGGTCACTGGACCCGAAATGTTAACTCTGCTTTTGCCTTCCCAGATGTTGCCAGACCTGCTAAGCTTTTCCAGCATCTTTGTTTTTGTTCCTGATTTAACAGTATGTTAACTCAATTGAAGAATGAATATTACAAAACATGCAGACATGAATATTGCCTATGTTTTAATAGGGTGGCTGAGTAATATTTTAACAATGGATTATTCTTGTTGTTATAGACAGTGGACGAATTATTGCTGGAATTCCTAAAGGGAGCAAAATGATGAGGTTGTTCCTGGGCAATTTATCTGATGTTCGTTTAAATGGTCTGTGCTTGTTCTTTGTGCGGTACAAAAATGATACTCCTATCACAGCAAGAAATATACACGAGGTATGAAGTGACATCTCATCATTTTTATTATTTTATGAGGATGTTAGTACTAGTGAGTAAATGTTCTTTCAACTTTTGGCAATGAGGTCAATGTACTTTGTTGGGGGATTTGTTTTACAGTCCTCTGTTCCAACAGATAGGTTCAATTATCACATCAGATGATCATGTCTTCGATCAGTTTCTATTTCAGATCATGATTGGAAGGAGATCATAGCATGCTTACTTTCCCCTAAAAATACATGTGCATCACAGTTTCTTGTTGTGTCAGATTGCAGTGCCTCACAATAGGATAGCCAAGCAAACGGCTTTGTAGGTTACGTGGAACAATCCCTCTTCTGTACCTGCACTGGCCTTAAACCCCACCTCTTCCTCCGTTAAATTGATGACTGTATCGGCGCCGCCTTGTGCTCCCACGAGGAGCTCGAACAGTTCATCCACTTCACCAACACCTTCCACGCCAATCTTAAGTTCACCTGGACCATCTCTAACACCTCTCTCACCTTCCTGGACCTCTCTGTCTCCATCTCGGGAAACCACCTAGAAACCAATATCCATTTCAAGCCCACTGACTCCCAGAGCTACCGAGAATATACCTCCTCCCACCCACCTTCCTGCAAAAATGCCATCCCCTATTCCCAATTCCTTCGCCTCCGCCGCATCTGCTCCCAGGATGAGGCATTCCACTCCCGTACATCTCAGATGTCCTCGTTCTTCAAGGACCGCAACTTCCCCCCCTCAGTGGTCGAGATCACCCTCGACCGTGTCTCCCGCATTTCCCGCAACTCATCCGTCCCTGCAATAACAACCAAAAAAGAATCCCCCTCGTCCTCACGTACCACCCCACCAACCTCCGGATCCAACGCATCATCCTCCGACACTTCCGCCATCTGCAATCCGACCCCACCACCAAAGACATTTTTCCCTCCCCACCCTTATCTGCTTTCCAGAGAGACCACTCTCTCCGTGACTCCCTTGTCCGCTCCACACTCCCCTCCAGCTCCACCACACCTGGCACTTTTCCCTGCAACCGCAGGAAGTGCTACACCTGCCCCCATACTTCCTCCCTCACCCCCATCCCAGGCCCCAAGAAGACTTTCCACATCAAGCAGATGTTCACCTGCACATCTGCCAATGTGGTATACTGCATCCGCTGTACCCGTTGTGGCCGCCTCTACATCGGGCAAACTAAGCGGAGGCTTGGGGACCGTTTTGTAGAACACCTACGCTCGGTTCGCAATAAACAACTGCACCTCCCAGTTGTGAACCATTTTAACTCCCCCTCCCATTCCTCAGACGACGTGTCCATCCTGGGCCTCCAGCAGTGCCACAACGATGCCACCCGAAGGTTGCAGGAACAACAACTCATATTCTGTTTGGGAACCCTGCAGCCCAATGCTATCAATGTGGATTTCACAAGCTTCAAAATCTCCCCTCCCCCTACCGCATCTCGAAACCAGCCCAGCTCATCCCCGCCTCCCTAATTTGTTCTTCCTCCCACCTATCCCCTCCTCCCACCTCAAGCTGGACCCCCATTTCCTACCTACTAACCTCATCCTGCCCCCTTGACCTGTCCGTCCTCCCTGGACTGACCTATCTCCTCCCTACCTCCCCACCTACACTCACCTTTACTGGCTCCATCCCCACCTGTTTGACCTGTCTGTTTCCTCTCCACCTATCCTCTCCTCTATCCATCTTCTATCCGCCTCCCCCTCTCTCCCTATTTATTTCAGAATCCCCTTCCCCTCCCCCATTTCTGATGAAGGGTCTGAGCCCGAAACGTCAGGCTTCCTGCTCCTATGATGCTGCTTGGCCTGCTGTGTTCATCCAGCTCTACACCTTATTATCTCGGAGTTAATTTGTGTACCCGCTTTAACATCATATTGGACTGCAATTTCAACTTACAGCTGGGGATCGGGAGTTTAGGCATTTGCTGAAGACAGAATTGAATCTCCTGAACGATGTTACACAATCATCCTATTTTCATCATGGAGTGTCAAGAATGATCTGATTATCTAATATCTACCCCAGAGCAGGCCCGGGAAGGAGGCAAAGGCTATCTGGCTCTGTTTTGCTGAAGCATCTGTACAGATTTTGACAAGATGTGGACAATGACCATAGTTAACTGTAGAGAACTTAACACTCTGCATGACATTCAGTTGCATTATAGTTGTTCAAATCCGCATTAGTGTGGTTGATTGAGGGGCTAGCATTTGTTTGCCTGTTTGTTTGTGTGTAAGGAGAATTTGAAAGAGGATTAGTAAGTTTAGTTAGTAGTGTTCTGTGCCAATGGTTTATATCTGTTTGTTTGTAGCTATGGACGAATTACTTAAAATAAATAATAATTCATGTTTAGTGCAGAAACCCGGTCTGTGCTTTCTCTAAACCTTGGTTTGAAAGTCTGATAAGTTAGCTTACTGGGCATACTTTAAAAAAAATTGTTACATTTGATACGATTCCAGGACTAGCGGAGCTTGACTTACAGTGCACAAATCCACTGGGTAATAACAGGCAAGTGCTTATTGTGACATCACCATATCCTGGGATGTGACCTAATGGTATTATTCTTAGTTTCTTTCCTACTGATTATATTTACTGCGTGACTTACTGAGGGAAACATACTACTGTTTATATCTAAATTGTTTGACTTTAACCCAGACAAATAAATGTGGGAAATGTGATGAGGGAACAAAAGTAACATCACAAAGTTTGCAGATGATATCAAATTGGGTGGGAAGTTGAACTGTGACAAGGATGCAGAGATTCTTCAGCATGATCTGGAAAGATTGGGTAAGTGGGCAAATCAATGGCAGATGCAGTATAATTTGGATGAATGTGAGGTTATTCACTTTGGAAGCAAAAACAAGAAGGTAGATTACTACCTGAATGGCTGTAAATTAGGAAAGGGGAGTGTGCAATGGGACCTGGGTTTCCTTGGGCACCAATTGCTGAAGGTAAGCATGCAGGTGCAGCAGGTGGTAAAGAAGGCAAATGGTATGTTGGCCATCATTGCGAGAGGTTTTGAGTACAAGAGCAGTGATGTGTTGTTGCAGTTATACAGGGCTTTGTTGAGGCCACGCCTAGAATATTGTGTGCAGTTTTGGCCTCCTTTTCTGAGGAAGGATGCTCTTCCTCTCAAGGGAGTGCAGCGAAAGTTTACCAGGCTGATTCTGGGGATTGCAGGACTGACGTATGAGGAGAGATTGACTAGGTTAGGATAGTTTTCGCTGGAGTTCAGGCAAATGAAGGGGAATTTCATGGAAATTTATAAAATTCCAACAGGACTAGACAGGGTAGATGCAGGGAGGATATTCCCGATGGTGCGTGTGTCCAGAACAAAGATCAAAGAAAATTACAGCACAGGAACAGGCCCTTCGGCCCTCCAAGCCTGCGCCGATCCAGATCCTCTATCTAAACCTGTCGCCTATTTTCCAAGGATCTGAATCCCTCTGCTCCCTGGCCATTCATGTATCTGTCTAGATACATCTTAAATGACGCCATCGTGCCCGCCTCTACCACCTCCTCTGGCAACGCATTCCAGGCACCCACCACCCTCTGCGTAAAGAACTTTCCACGCATATCTCCCTTAAACTTTTCCCCTCTCACCTTGAAATCGTGACCCCTAGTAATTGAGTCCCCCACTCTGGGAAAAAGCTTCTTGCTATCCACCCTGTCTATACCTCTCATGATTTTGTAGACCTCAATCAGGTCCCCCCTCAACCTCTGTCTTTCTAATGTAAATAATCCTAATCTACTCAACCTCTCTTCATAGCTAGCGCCCTCCTTACCAGGCAACATCCTGGTGAACCTCCTCTGCACCCTCTCCAAAGCATCCACATCCTTTTGGAAATCTGGCAACCAGAACTATACGCAGTATTCCAAATGTGGTCGAACCAAAGTCCTATACAACTGCAACATGACCTGCCAACTCTTGTACTCAATATTCCGTCCGATGAATGAAAGCATGCCGTATGCCTTCTTGACCATTCTATCAACCTGTGTAGCGACCTTCAGGATACAATGGACCTGAACACCCAGATCTCTCTGTGCATCAATTTTCCCCAGGGCTTTTCCATTTACCACATAGTTCGCTCTTGAACCAGGGGCCACAGTCTGAGGATTCGGGGTAGACCATTTACGAAAGAGATGAGCTATTTCTTCACCCAAAGAGTGGTGAGCCTGTGGAATTCATTACCACAGGAAGTAATTGATGCCAAAACACCGAATGTATTCAAGAGGCGACTAGATATAGCACTTGGGGTGAATAGGATCAAAGGTTATGGGGAGAAAGCAGGATTAGGCTATTGAGTTGGATGATCAGCCATGATCGTGATGAATGGTGGAGCAGGCACGAAGGGCCAAATGACCTCCTCCTGCTCCTATCTTCTATGTTTCTATGTAAATGCCTAAGATTGTGATAAATGTAGACACTAGGAGCTGAATTAAAAATCCATTGAACCCTTCATTGCCATGTTTTAATCTATGCTACTGGTGATATAAGTATCACGATCAGGTACAAATACCCTGCTGAAGTTAAAAAAAAACCCTGCCCTGCACTTGTGGGAGATCACAATGACAGAACAGACCTGGTTTAACAGAGGTGACTAGTCATAAAGAAAAGGTTCCCAGATATCATGTCATGGTGGTAGTGCAGTGCAAAGCAGCAGTACCTACGTGTAACATCAAAAATCTCATTGCAGAGCTTTGGAAATCCCACTGAATATTTTGTAGTCCTTGACCTCAAAGAATTTGGAAGACTAACAGCAACAAGTTTATGTGAATTCAATCGGTAAATTAAGCAACCAGGAGGCTGACTTACCTTCTTTCTACCTTAAACTCAAGATTTATCAAGCTATAAATGCTGAATTACTGTTACAAACAAAATAAAATTTCAGACCTACTTTCTGAAAGAAAAGTTTACTTATATCAGTCAGAAGATTTCTTAAAGGCTTTGGGGTAAAATTGACATTCAAAATGCTTTTTACAGGATTAAACTGAAATCA